ATCTGTACTTTTCCGAATTGTTTTATAGTGGTAAGGTCATGAATCCGCGTGCCTGACCTTCCAGTATACCTATGCTACACCGATCCGTCGTCATGGACGGTGCAGCGGCCCGACCGGTGGGCACACCGTGAGACGGTAAATGGAACTGGTGATTTTGCCTTAAATTGAGCTCAAAGATTTCACGCAAGAATGAGATGGATGAAGCATAAGTAATGCCAACTGTGCGGCGCCTCGTGGACGTAAAAAATTAGCCGATCACCCCCCCCCCTCCCGGTGACGGATAATGTTATGTCCCGCAAGTGTGACTTTGGCCCCCCCTTTTGCTAGCGGCTGCGACCGCCAGTGTCACTAAGTACCTATCGCTTTTTTGTCAAATAGCCCCGAATGAGCTATAATTTGACCTCAGGTCATGGTTACAAGATCGCGGAGGAATACGCACTTCTCTAGTGGCACAGCTGGGGACTGCAGCCCGAGAGACGGGCGGACCCGGGGCGGGAACCGAGCGTCCTAGATGCCTAGATCGTGAAGTCAAACATCGACAGTAGGTAGGTACGTTGTAGGGGTTACTAATTCTTTGCACGGGTGACGAGATTCCGTGAGTGGCACTGTCGCTAGTCGCTCTCCCAGGAGAGGATCGTTCCCTGCACGCACAACGAAGCGGGAGTCCCGAGTCAGTTTACTAGGATCAGTTTCCAGTTTACGACGGACGCCTTGTTACGCGCCCGTGTCGACCGCTCGTCTCCTTTGTTCTCTTGACTGCAGTGCTGGGCCAGCCCTACCAATGCGCCGTATGGCAGATCCATGGAAACATACAGCATTTAGCCCGGAGTCAGTGCCCACCACGATTTTGCTCAAAACCAGAGCAATTGATGGATTTTACTCAGCGTAGCCGGAGCAATAGCAGTCCAACTTGACGGCTCTGCTCTCTTGTAATTAATTAAAGAGAGCTAAAATATATATAAAGGCCAAAGTATAGTATTGAATGCGACGAGGCTAGTACTAGATAACCCGCGCCCGGCTGGGGGTCCTGGATTTCCACGCCCTGCTGGGGGGGGGGGGTGTTTGAACACCCCCCCCCCCTTGTAACTCGGCTCCTGGGCCACGTAGCGATACGCGGAAGGCGGCGTTCGAAAGAGCGTCAAAAATAATGACGAAATCACTTCGGTCAATTTTTTGGTCAGGTCAAAGGTCAGGTCACCAGAGGTCATTGAAGGCAAAATTTCGCCGATTTCCAGGTCGAATATCGAAAATTTCCAAGAAGCCAACGCATAACTCGGGAACCAATAGAGCTACAGCGCCGCGGAAAAGCGCATTCGATAGCCCTATTAACGCCCTTTCTGAGTAATTCTCTCAGATTTGACCTAACGTCAACGGTTTTGCCTGCAGGGCATAGGTGGAGAATTGTGACCAGCTGGGGGTGCTCGGGCGCAGCAAATCCGCCGCCGCCTAGCGGTGACCTTGACCCGCGCCGCCCGGTCGCGGCTCCAAAGCCAAGCCGGCGTGGCCGGCGTGGAATTGGGAGAGCTCGAGCACCCCCAGTCCAGCACAATTCTCCACCCGTGCTGCAGGGGGCAAAAACTGCAAAAATAGCCGATTTTTTTTCGGAAACAGTTTTTCGGCAATAACTTTTGACCCAAGCCTTGTACGAGCTTACTTTTACCGGCATCGTGTTCCTCTCGTCAAGACGCATCGAATGAACTATAACTTGACCTTGAAAGGTCAACTTGAAAATTTGACCTCAGGTCAAGGTCATGACCTGACCGGAAGGGGTCATGTTGCACATCAGTCGATCCGTATCGTCGAGCTGAACACATCTAAGGCGTTTTCATCGCTCTAGCATGCCTCTATCAAAAGTTATTTGCGAAAAACTGTTAGATACCATTCGTGACCTAAGATGACCTCAGGGCATAAACAAGGGTCACGGACACCATTTTCATGTTCAGTGTGTCTAAACCACTTGTAATTCAGTGTTTGGGAGTGTTTATAATGTCTTCCGTCCAAAAGAGGCGCATTTCAATTTTCTCCCATTGACTTATAATGGGGAGGTCGCAAAATTGACCTGACCTTAGGTCACCGATATCAAAATTCCGAGATATACATTTCATAGATACTGTTACCCTTATCAATCGCTGAAAGTTTCAAAGCGATCGGTCACTCGGTGTAGCTATGACAGACATTGAAACTTTTTATGAGGTGAGGTCACTTCAAGTGACCTGGTGACCTGACCTTGAATGACCTTGGTCTGAAATTTTCACAACATGTGTAGAATTGATGTATGATAAGGTGTACCAAAAACGGCGGCGCTCCGCGCCGCCGTTTTTGAGATATTCGCAAAAAACCACAAGGGGGGGTGTTCAAACACCCCCCAGCAGGGCGCGGGATAAGATAAACCCGAGTGATATACTTTATTGGTGTGCTGTGCTCCTCGAATTTATATGTGTTCTATGAAATGTTATCTATAAAACAGGTTAGAATAAAAGATGTTCACTTTGATCGGCAACCGCGTATTGATCGTTTAGGTAAAACTGGACCTCAAGCTCGTTTTTATTTTTGCTCAAGCAGAAATGATTACTTATAGAGGGGTCATGATCGAGGTGTGAATTACAGGCGGTTCTGATTTGCCTCCGACTGTTCCCCGCGGACCCTACCCACCCCGGCCCGGCATCCGGACGCATCCCCCTATCCGGGAGACACCCGGTGATGACTGGCCACCATTGTCTCCCCTGATGACCCGCCCTGTGACCTCCCGGCTCTCGGGGTTACCCCTCCCCAGCCAACCCCGCCGCTGGCCACGTCGGCCCAGATGCCTGCCCGGGATAGCGGAGGTCACCCCTCCGGAGGGGGGAGGGGGGCGCCTGGCCGGCGCCCGCGCGCGTGTCATCCTTTGATAGCTCTAGTGTGGAGAGACTCCAGCTATCGGCGAATCTGGAGGCCGCGTGGAACTGTGAGCTGCCGATGTGCGCAATGCCATGACTGGGAGACGTGACTGGCGAGGTGGCATCGCCCCGGGCGGTGCAGCGTGGGAGCTGGGTCAGCACGGGCTCCGGCTGGCTACGGAAAAGGACTGCTATCACTTTTACACTATGCATTATTACACTATGCATGGAGCTATATCTCAAAAGAAAATCCTCTTATCATATGAAAGCTTAAGGGAAATCCCTTATTTATTTGAAGCATGTTAACACTCGAGACGAGTTTCTATTGTCCGGGCAGAAACTCGAGATCCCAGTTCACGAAGCCGTGAGTGTGCCACTCGCGGCGGTTCTGTGCCATCAGCACCATCGGCTCCCCGGATTGAATCCGACTGTTCCGCTCGAGTCGGCCCGAGGCCCGCAGCTCAGACAGTGCTTTTGTTCTCCCACTGTGGCCGTATGCGGGGGCTGGGGCTTTGTGGTCCCATGGGAGAGCTTCAGGGGTAACTACGCAGGGTCACTTAGACCTTGAGTGTGTCGACGATTTCATCGTCTAACCATGAAACAGACATAAGTGATCAGCGAAGGATTTGAGCGAAGGGAGACATGTATTCACAATTTCACAAAAGTAGTCTGTCATACGTGCAAAAGTGATTGCTGGATACGCGCTATGATCTTGGCTACATTGATGTTCATTTGCATATCATTCATAATCACCAACCATCATTTAAATCGCATGATTGCGGCATCAATCAGCAAATATTGAGAAAAGATTGCGTGATCTATCAACGAAAACAATGTCCATGATATCGCACTGAATCATGCCATCACCGTCCCGCGCGTCCCGGCCGGTGCCGAGTCGCTGTTGATTGGGTCGTCACCGAGTCGACTGGTCGCCACAGCGCCCGGCGTCACTGGCGGCGCGGGGCCTTTGAAAGCTCACCGGCCGATCAGTGGCAGCCTGCGGAGCGGCCGGCGCAGCGGCGCAGCTCCTCCCACTCCCTCCCTCCACCCATTCGACTCGGGCCACGGCGGGAGCAGACCGCAGACACTTGAACAGGGCCCCGCTAGCCACAGCGACTTCAATGGCGACTGGAACAGTAACATGGGCGCTATGAACGGCGGACCATGTGCGGGATCGTCCCGACCTGGAGTAGGGCAGTGCGGGACTGACAGTCTGGTATACAGGCGAGGGATTGCAGCGATGCTGTGCATACATTTCGTTTACTTGATTCATTTAATCCATTCATACTGTAGACCACGGGCCGCTTATAGGTTAGGCTGACAGGCCCATTGACATATAACATTATATTCTTTAATTCCCACCTAAATTTTTTTTTCAAGTTAACAGTATCGTTTACAATCAAGACTCAAACACACGTAAAACCGACTCGTTTGACATTTGACGTTTAGCAACATTCACGGACAGTGGCATACGCTCCACCGTCCAACACTTCTCTGTTAACCCTCGACGGACCTATTGGTTTTCTATACAAGCATTCTATATTTTTACAGGGTGTTACAAAAAAGGGAGCCCCCAAACTTATATTGCTTTTATCTCCGAAACCGTATGTCCTACGATAATGAGAGACCCCTTGTTGGAAAGAACGGTCAATTTCGGTTCTAGTAGGCTACCTAGTGTGGTTCTGAATGATCACGTATTACACCGAGAACGACCAGAACAAAATGTGTTGCGAGATCGAGTGAAACTTGGCGACGGCGGTATGCCCCGCCTAACTATTATTGCTTTTGTTAGTTGAGAGGCAGCGTCTCAGTCCTTCGTGTATTCGTACACACTCAGCACGCGCGGGCGGCGACCCTCCAGCCCTCGACCTCTCACACGTCTGCTCCTCGGGCCGCAGCCTCGACCTTCGCCGCCGCACCGGTCGCAGCGGCGCGCCCAGTCAGAGGCATGGCGCAGAGGCGCGTCCAGCCGCGCGCCGGGAGGGGCGCTACACCCGGGCGGCGTCGGCGCACAGCACCCACGCAAACGCCGCCCCACATACCTCCCCCCATAAAGGTTCGACCCACAATCCTTCCAAAAATATGTACATACAACTCAAAACAACAACAAAACCGCAACAAAAAGGACCATAATGCAACCGCAACACGAGGTCCACGACGCACCGCGACGTCAAACACCCAAGTACAACGCACATGTTTCGCCCTGCACCGCAGTCACTACACGACACCGTCTCTCTGTCCCCTCCCCCCTTCGCCATCCATCGAGCGTGTCGATAACGAGCACGTCGTTAGCTTGGCGCACTTAGCGGGCAAATGTGTCGCTAAGCTTCTTTTGAATCTTGTCGTAGCCGAGCGCGGTGAGGTGGATGCCGTCCGGGCAGAACCACCTGCTCGCGACATCGCTCCTGACCAGATGGCGGCGCTTCACCATACAGGTCAGCGCGCGGCCCAGATACGGTAAAAACCGTAGTCCTCGTGCCAGGGCCGCCTCCCGCAGGGCGAGGTCCGCCCGGAACGCCGCCGTGTCCTCGTAGCGGGCTCCGGCGTCACACCACAGCCGTGGAGTCGGACCTGCTAACAGAACGTCGTAAGACTGGAGCTCAGCCAACACGGCGCCCACATCATTCTGACATAGACCCACAGGCGTGTCGTGGGGCCTTCCATATGCATCGTTCCCCCCAAGCCACACAAAAATCCTCCCCAGGCTGAGGTTATGATCGCTAGCCGAATCCCGCCACTGCTCAACATGCTCCCGAACCCTTTTCCGCTCTTTATTCCAAGTGTTCCCCCGAATGGCCAAGTTGAGAATGTAATCCCCTGCACCCACCGCGAGTTTTAGTCCCACTGCTAGGCTATCCCCTATGATCAAGTGCAGCCTTCCTTCCGGGGCTGGGTGGGGCATCTGCCGCGTGCTGGCCGCCGTTCCTGAGCCCGGGACCGCCTCTCCTACCAACGTTACCCGGAAAGCAGGCTCCTGTAGCAGCTGTCTCAGGTCAGATGCCACCTCATCAGCTGGCCCAAAGCCAGCACCCTCGTCCTCAGGTCGTGGGGACGTGTACATATTTATTATTTCTTTCAAGTCCTCGTCGTACTGTCCTTGCCCCATCGCCTCGGCCTCAGCGAGGAGCGCGTCGACAGCATCGACCTTGGGCTCACTACCGTCGGGTTCAATCGGTGGTTCCACCATCGAACGATCGAATGGTGCCCCGTCTAGCTCTGCGCTTTTTGCTGTTGCGGTGGCTACCTTACCATCTGGAGGCGCTTTTGAAGGTCCAGATGGCGCTCGGTTCCTCTCCAAGGCCTCCACCCGTAGGAGCAGCTCGTCCACCTGGTCCTGGAGGTCGACGCAGCGATCCTCCAGACGCCTGCAGCGCTCCGTCGACGGAACGACGTCCTCTCCTCCAACTTCCACGCCTTCAGCGTCCATACCTGGCGGCATAATACAATTGATACGCATCGACAGACATGCATGGTTTCCTTCCTTAACTTATTCATAGTTAGGGTCACAGGTCACACAGCCGCCATTCACAGGGCTGGATACCTTACCGGAGGCCGGGATACTCTCCCGTATCGTGTGGTGTATGTGCTCGTCAGTTGTGGTGTTTGTCCCGCAGCCGTATCACTGGGCATCTGCAAAAAGTGTATAAATGGACTACTCTTCGTGATCATGTTAGAGTCCCGAGATACCCGCTCGTCAGTCCTTTGTTTGTGTTGGTCAGGCGTAGTCTCGTCAGTGGTCTGCTGTCCGTGTTGTTCGGGGGTAACTGGTCGTTCGGCTGGATCGTCTTTCCTTCGAAGTTTCATGGGTTTCAGATGATTGTGATGAACGTTGGTCTCCTTACCACCGGGCATGCTGACCTTGTAGGTGACTCCGTCTCCTTCCGGACCGTGCCTTCTTAAAATGGTCGCAGGGCCTTTGTAATGAAGGGCCAGCTTACGTTTACCTCCGACGTGAGCCGTATGGTCCCTCACCCACACTTTTTGACCTGGCACATATTCAACCTCTCGTGCCGACTCGTTTTGTGTTTTTGTCATGTCGTTGGAGGCCTTGTCGATGTTTTCGCGAACCTTGTTGTATGCATGTCTGAGTTGGCGCAGCTTGTTTTCGACATGCGTGTCGACCATCGACACGTCGCGCTTCTGGTTGAAAAGCTCATCGACTGGCAGGCGTGCCTCATACCCATGCACGAGGAAAAATGGGGTAAATCCGGTCACCGAGTGTTTGGACGTGTTGTATGCAAAGGTGAGGAAAGCCAAATGTTCGTCCCAATCAGATCCGCACGGTTTGATAAATTTCGAGCACATGTCCTTGAGTGTGCGGTTGAAGCGCTCTACCATGCCATCGCTCTCAGGCCGATAGGGTGATGTCCGAGTTTTTTCGATTCCTAGTCGTTTGCACAGGGACTGGAAGACCGCAGACTCAAACTGGCGACCTTGATCGCTGTGAAGGCGTTCTGGCACCCCTTGCCGCAATACCATGTCCAGAAGACAGCCAGATACAGTTTCAGCTGTCTGGTTCTGCATGGGGTAGGCAAAGACGTATTTGGTAAAGTAGTCCATTGCTACTAAAGCGTATCTATTACCGCGAGCCGACATCGGCATCTCGGTGATATCGATAGCCACTCTTTCAAATGGCCTCGAATAGGATTCGGTTCGGAGAGTTGCTTGCATCTGTGGTGCTGGGCGACTGCGTCGTTGACAGGTCTCGCAAGTTTCGCAGTAGCGGGCGATGTCCCCGCTCATCCCCAGCCAAAAAAACCTGGTTGCTGCTCTCTCGAGAGTTCTGTCGGTTCCCAGATGACCGGCAGTCACATCGTCATGTAGCATGTTCAGGACTGTTTCATGATAGGTTTTTGGAAGAACAATGACCGAGTTGTCGCTGTCGCCATGTCGCCTTAGTTTTAGAACTCCCTGTTCGACCGTGAGCTGGTCGAATAATCGAGCCATGCTACGCAGTGAGCTGTTCTTTTTCCTTAGTTCTTTTTTTGAAGGAAGCCTCTTGGCTACCAACCAGTTCCTGACCTCAGCCAGTAAGGGGTCGAGCTCCTGCTCGAATCGCAGCTTTTCGAGGGGGATGTCTTCTCGACCGCCCTGGTGGTCGGCTGCGAGAAGCTCTTTGGCCTCAGTCTCGGCTGTGGAGTCGGTGACGTCAGCGACAGGTCTCGACAGAGCGTCAGCATTTCCATTGTCGCAGCCTTTTCGGTACTCAACGATGAAATCGTATGTGCTGAGTTCGATTGCCCATCTGCCACGTCGTCCCGTGGCGTCTCCGTCGACATTGATCGAGCGGGGAATGTTCTTGAGCGGTTTGTGGTCCGTCATCACCGTGAACGTTGTGGCAGCCAAATATGGGCGAAAATGTCTAATAGCCCATACAATTGCCCAAAGTTCTTTATCATACGTCGGCCATCGACGTTCACTCTTGTTGAGCACCTTGCTGGCGTAGGCGATCACCCTCTCATCGCCGTTGATGGTCTCCGTCAACACCGCTCCGACTGCAGTGTTGGAGGCGTCGGTTGCAACCTTGAACTCGCCCTTGCAGGTTGGCAGGGTGAGGATTGGCGCCGACGTCAGCTTCGTTTTAGTGCTTTCAAAGCTTTCCACCAGCTCTTCAGTCCATTCTACAGTACCCTTTTTCTCAGCAGCTTCTCTGATGGGTCGCACGAGGTCAGAATAGTTGGGCACGAATCGCGAGTAGTACCCTGCGAGCCCTAGAAAACTCTTCAGCTCTTCGGCTTTCTGTGGTCGAGGCCAGTGACGCACCTTCTCTATGTTTGCTGGGTCTGGCTCCACACCGCTCTTCCCCACCTTGTGTCCGAGGAATACTACCTCGTCGCGGGCTAGACAGCACTTCCTTGGCTTTAGTTTCATCCCTGCTGCCCTGATCCTTTGAAAGACCTCCTCCAGGTTTTTGAGATGATCGTCTTGATCCTTTCCGAAGACAATAATGTCGTCTATGTACACCAGGCAGCTTTTTGAGTCCATTCCAGCCAGCACTAGTTCCATCAGTCGTTGGAACGTGGCTCCAGCGTTCTTGAGGCCGAAAGGCATGGACCGGAAGTGGTGCAGGCCTTTTCCCGTGCTGAAAGCGGTTTTCTCTCGGTCTTTTTCAGCGACATCAACCTGCCAGTAGCCTGAGGCCATGTCGAGGGTGGAGAACAGGCTTGCCCCCGCGAGGCTGTCGAGGCTGTCATCCACCCTCGGGAGAGGGACTGGCAGACTTTGGGTGACAGAGTTCACTGCTCGAAGATCGACGCAGAATCTGAAACTGCCGTCTTTTTTCTTGGCCAGAACGATGGGTGAGCACCAAGGGCTGGAACTCTCCTCGATTATTCCCTCTTTCAACATCTTTTCTTTTTGTCTTTCCACCTCTTCTCTTAGTTTCATTGGGATCCGTCGTGGCCTTTGTCGGATCGGAGCCGCGCCTCCAGTTTCGATGTGATGTTGTAGAAGCTTTGTTTTTCCAATGTCGGACTCTCCCGTGCTGAAGATATCCTGGTATCGTGACACAAGTTGTGTTAGCGAGGTCTTGCCACTCTCTGAAAGGGCAGTAGATTCGAGTTTGAGCTCGCTTAAGAGATCATCGAGCGTCCCTGCACTGAGTTCAGCTGAAGCCGCTGAAGGGCTCGGGACGTCGTACATACCCTTGCCATTTTCTTGAATGGAGTACAGTGTACCGATTTCTGTGCCTGGAGGGATCGTTACTGCCTTGCCTCCGATGTTGGCGACCTGAACCGGCACGGTTGCCTCGCTCGTCACTTCTGCAACTAAACGAGGGACCCTCCACTCTTGGCTGCTCTCAACTGAGTGAGGTTCTAGAACACCCTCCCAAGTGGCTTCTTTAGTGATTTTAACGCCTCCATCTGGGATCTCGACCTCGGCCTGAACGAGGGTCTGAGACCTAGCGGGGATGGTGACTGAGGCACAAGTGACCACCCTTGCTCGTAGCGGTCGTAACTCAGAATATGTTGGTAAAGGAATCTCGACATTCCCCACTCTGAAAACCCCTGCCCTGTCATCTAGCACTGTTTTGTGCTGGCAGCAGAAGTCTCGGCCGAGAACGACCTGGTAGATCAAGCCTGGAATGACCAACATAGGCTGGATGAACTGCGAGGTTTGTATCGAGAACGACACTTCTGCTTGTGTGTTGACTTGTATTTTCTGCCCGTTTGCCTGCGTTATTGTTCCAAAATTTCCTTTGTGGGACGCTCCTTTCTGTACAGCCGCTCGGGCGAATTCTTGTCCAATCATTGACGTATCGGCTCCGGAATCAACGAGGGCCCATACACTGCGTCCTTCGACTTCGATTTTGATCGCTGAAGCGCGTTTGGGGCTTGCTTCTTGTTCATCTCCGACTGGTGCTTGCCCTTCAGCACCAGTCATTGACCGTTTCCCTGTTGCATGCTCTGGGGTGGTCCGGCTGGGTACTGTGGACTCCTGCCACCGTTTTGTCTCCAACAGTCGGCCGCCCAGTGTCCTTGCCTCCCGCAATTCAAACAGCTCACGTGTCCCATGTTTTGTGGGGCGCTCGACAAACCGAGGCCACCCGCCGAAACCGGCGTTCTCCAGCATTCGGCTACCGAATGTCCGCGTCTCCCGCATCCAAAACACTGTAGGCTCTTAGGTGCGTTGGGTGCCGTCCCTCGGTTCCCGGCTGTCGCCCCCGGGGGCCTAACTTGCCCTGGCTGGCGTCTGTTCAAAAGCTGCGGACAATTGCGCTTGAAATGGTTGGTATCGCCACACTGGAAACAGCCACGCTGATTGCTGCTGATCGCGTTTGGTGTTCCGTTTGTGCCTCGTTTTATTTGAGCCTTTACCTCCCTTAATTCGTCTTTTAACTCACCAATCATCGCCAGAACCTCTGTTGTGTCTGTGCGGTCGCCTCCTGTGTTCCGTGGGCTTTCGCTGGCTGTAGTGTGGCTGGAGGGCATGACCGTCTGCGTGTCCTGACCACCTAACGTGCGCATAACAGACAAGGTGTTTTCTTTTTCTTGGACTTTTTGGGCTACACGAATGGCTTGCTGTAGAGACAGCACAGCGTCATCGTTGTGCAGCTTTTCTTGCAGTTTCAGGTCACTGAGGCCGCACAAGAAATGTTCTAAGGCTGTCTGGTCGAGATGAGCACTGGACAGTCCCGGATTTCCTATATTTGTAAGCTTTCGGACGCGATCTGCAAACGCCTCCGTGCTTTCTCCCGGTTGTTGACGTACCTGACGGAGTTCTGCATTCGCGCGTCGTGGATCGACGTTGGCTCCAAATTTCCTTTGCAACGCGCCCTTGAGGATTTTGTAACTTTTCCTCTCATCCCTCCCTAATTTTCCGCAAACGTCGAGGGCAGTGCCGTCTAATACATCGAGCAGCACAGTGGCTAGGCTTGTCTCGTCCAGCTCACTAAAGCGGGTTTCAAAACGAAATATCCATGTTTCCCAATTTTCATCTTTCAGACCGCTAAATTTTTTTGTGTTGTGAACTTTCATATACAGTTCACTAGCCATTTCAGTTGCCCTCTACTGACAGAATCAATTATATTCTCAGTGTGGTGTCGCTAAACGATCACCTTATGATTATCTATAATGTCTACAATTATGTACGGCAGAGAAAAATAACCGGGTTCAAGGCGTATTGTGAATATTGTAAACGACCTGGTATTTATCAAGAAGCTAATCGGAAACGACCACACCCCGATAAATTTCAGGTCGGAATCACCCAAAGAGCAATATCGGCAATCGATATAGGAGGCGATTGTGTCGTATAAACGATCACGCTAACCAGTGCATATTCATTGAAATAAGGAGCGAAAAGGCTTACCTTGACCGCGCCAATGTTAGTTGAGAGGCAGCGTCTCAGTCCTTCGTGTATTCGTACACACTCAGCACGCGCGGGCGGCGACCCTCCAGCCCTCGACCTCTCACACGTCTGCTCCTCGGGCCGCAGCCTCGACCTTCGCCGCCGCACCGGTCGCAGCGGCGCGCCCAGTCAGAGGCATGGCGCAGAGGCGCGTCCAGCCGCGCGCCGGGAGGGGCGCTACACCCGGGCGGCGTCGGCGCACAGCACCCACGCAAACGCCGCCCCACACTTTTATCTCCAAAACCGTATGTCCTACGATAATGAAAGACCCCTTGTTGGAAAGAACGGTCAATTTCGGTTCTAGTAGGCTACCTAGTGTGGCTCTGAATGATTACGTATTACACCGAGAACGACCAGAACAAAATGTGTTGCGAGATCGGGTGAAACACGGCGACGGCGGTAAAAGTGTATTGCTGACGGCAACGCACGACCGATATTGGAGTGGTCAAAATACTGGTTGAACTAGGTCATCCATTCAGTCTTCATTTTTTTTTATGATAAAAGTTCACGCGCGAAGAATGAATAAAAGCACGTGAACTGAAATATGCAGTCAGATGTGAGAAATTTTAACCATATCCGTTACCCCTAAATATTTCACTAAGAATTTGGTATTGAATTGTGCTTTTCACAATGCTGGTCGTGTTGTGCAAGCTATGTAACAGAATTACGACCTATCTGGATGGAATTCGATTGCTCTTTCTAATGAGCGGCTTTCCAAAGCTGTAGGATACACGGTTGCGGAGATACAGTCGATCTTAGTTAGGGGGATCACTTTTTTTGGAACACCCTGTAGTATGTTTACATACTATTTTTTTCTAGGCCAAGGGGGGTTGACGTGTACGACCCCCTCTCTCGCCGTTTCCCCCCTGATGGAGCTAGCCTAGAGCGTTGTGGAAAAAACGAGCGTGTGCGCCGTTACGAGACACAGCGACGGGTACCCGATTTTAATGTCTCAGGTCAACCGGTGACATCTGAGGTCAGGCCAAGTGACCCAAAGTATGGATTCAGTTTTCATAAATAACTTTGCAAACAACGGTCGCAGAGCCGCGATTTTGGCATCATCGTGTTCGCCTCGTTCAGGCGCGTCGAATGGTCAACTTTTTGCTTGGGTGAGGCCAAGTTCAGATGTTGACTTCGGGTTAAGGTCATGTCAGTGCCCACAGGTCACGAAACTAGTCAAATAAGGTCATATTGCATATCATTCGCTTCGGCAGGTCTTCCTGAATCCATTGGTCGCTATTCCCGACTCGCTAGCTCAATTTGATCGGGAGTTATTGATGAAAAACTATTATGGCCCAAGTGACGTCATGAATGACGTCACGCAAGGTCAACAAGGCAAAATCAAAGCATCGCACATTGCAAGGAGTGCAAGAAATTAGATTCCGTGTGCTTGAGCCACCTAGTTTGAGATCGTTCCCGGCGCTAAAATGGCAGTTTTCATTTTCCCCTTTGACAATGGTGAGGTTACGTGACCGACCTGACCTCATGTGACCTTTAGGAAAAATCCGAGATACCTATGCAAGTTGTGAGACCTCTGGAGGATACTACATCCTGTAAGTTGCATCTCCTTGTATAAGTTCCTCTGGCACTGAGGGCGTTGCGAAGTTGCGACATCTGAGGACCTTGCAGAGGTTCACTTATGACGTCATAGTCCAGTGACCTGATCTGACCTAAAAATGCGGTTGGTGTCAAAAGATGCGGCTTGGATCAACTGCCAGGCATGCCAAGCTTCGGCTTTCTATCGCCGGCGTGTTCGGAGCTATCGCGAAAAAAAACGGGGGGCTGCACCCCCCACCCCTCGGCCGGCGAGGGTTAAATGTTTCCAGACAACTTTCCCTATTGACTTTTCGAAAAGGGGAAACAAGGAAGCTGAGCCATATGTAGGTGTTTCTCTCGTCAATACTCCTCGACAAAAGCCGTCGTATTTGCTTCCTAAGCCCATCGCCGGCACAGGCCATTTTACGTCCTTCGACGATACAATTAGGGGGTGGGTGGTACGACCCGCATTTGGCCTATAATTTAGCATATAGAGCCTCGTTGAAAAAACGAGCGTGTTGCCCGTGACGAGAAGAAGCCGATGATACCAGATTTTAATGTCCTAGGTCATTGGTTGACCTGAGGTCAGGTCAATGACCCAAAGGTCGGGAAAATCGGGACCTGTTAGAACGTCGTTAAGTGTGGCTGCTATGAGGGTTTTCGGGGTGCTGATCACGAACATATACTGTTAGTTTTGATCACGGATGTTGTCTTCATGCATTGGTCAGGTCGGGTCAACCAGTAGGCCCAGCCAGCAATTCGCTTGGGCTGAACTGTGGCAAGCGTCGGGCAGCTTGGGCTTAGCTTGGGTTTGCCCACTTTGATCAAAACCAATGTATTTTTTACTAGGGCTGAGCTGGGGCATGCCGCAGCAATGCCCACGTGCGGATAGCAGTAGCTCAGCCCGACATCTGCCCGCGCATCCAAAACAGGCTTAACTTGGGCGGAGCGCGGGCTGATCAGGCTGGCTGTGTCCTTCGGCTAACTGGAGTAAAGCCGGAGCTTAGCCATACTTGTTCGGCTGTTCGCGCATGCGCAGTTCTGCGCCAATCATGTGCAGCGTTTGTGCAAGTCTGCGCGCTGTGCGACGAAACGACACACCGGTGTTGGGGCATTTGGTGGTTGATGTTTGGGCGCGTGTGACAGCGCGAAGAAGGGATAGTGCTCACTGCTCTTATCAAGTGGACTGGCATGGAGTTTTACGGTAGGTAAGTGTATTGAATGGTGCGCTTGATCGCATGTAAACGTCATGATTTTGACTGAGTTTCACGCCATCAAACATGAAGTTGAATAGCTGTTCAGCCTGGCGACTCATACCCTCGCTCAGAAAAGCTGCATTCCGTGCCTTTATATCTTTGTGAAATACCAGCACTTCTGACCCAGGAAAATGAAATACAAAACACAAATATTTATCTACTTATCACCGAGCACGCTCATTCTCTGTCCGCATTTAAAATCAAATGAACATTTTATACGGATCAATGAGAAGTGCTTTTACAGTATTAATGCATCAATAAGTTATTTTTCAAGTAAACATGCAATGTAAATTAAATCAATTAATCTCTTTTTCAGGTACGTACCATTAGAGCAAATGGTTCCAAAAAATGGAATAGTTATACAAACCAGGACCGGGTGGACGACGCAGTCGCCCTCGCCAAGTGGTTTAGCGGAAACTGCCTGCTTATGATTAAGTAGGTAGGTATACTACATATACGGAAACTGCGCCGAAAGCTGGCCGACCACCTACTGCAGATGTGTGTGTGCGGAGGAGCCAGACGCCTCTAAAGCTCCCATTCACCAGAGTGAAGTTCCTTATAAACGATTGTTTGCTTATTGCTTTATGTCTCATGAGCGATTACTTGCTGTCCTTACTTTATGCTTTCGGTTGAGTGTTTAACCAAGTATTATGAACGGGGAGGGAGGCTAACGGGTCTTGTGATTGTTTTATAGTTTTGATGGCGTTTTTTCATGACTCATGCCATATTACTGCTGCAGTTTGCAGTCCATTGTTTCATGTATTTGTGTTTCATTTGACGTGTCTGTAGTCGTTTGAAATATACATTCAATCAAAGTCAAACACTACTTTCCTTTTGCAATGCTCGAGCCTCGATGACCGGTTAACAGAGCATATGAGTGACCGTAATTTTAAATATGCATTGAAACCGCACAACCTGCTGAAAGTGCATTGGCTGCTCCTTGCTACTTGATCCAGTGTGAAGCAAAAGCAAGATGAAGTCAAGTCGAGACTTGAGAAAACAGGAGCCGTCACTCGAGCCGAACCCGAGCAAAGCCACAGCAGTTTGCAATGTATAAACCCCATTCACTTCTATGGCTTAAGTCGGGATAGACAGGGCACACAGAGTGGGCTTGCCGGAGTTCAGCCCGCTCGGGCCCAGAGTAATCTCCATTATATAAATGGATTCACTGCTCGGGCTTAAATCGGGCTAACGCCAATCGTCGCTCAACTAGGGCTAAACTACGGCTGTCCGGAGCTCGCAGAGCGGGCATACCTCCGGCAGAGCATGGGCTTTAGTCGGCGTTTTTGTGTCATACGCCGACTTTAGCCAAAGCCCTAGCCAACTTTAGCCCGACTAAAAATCTCGGGCAATCCGCACTAGAGCCTGCTTGGGCCCGGAGCAAAATTGCTGGCTGGGGGGGTACTGCTGGGTATTCGTAGTAGGTGTCAACTGCCTCTGAAAGCTTCGCAACATGTTACGTAGGCACCATAACTACTTTGTAAATGCTCAAATGATTGCTAAATTCGAATTCAGCTCCAAAAACTAGCCAAGAAACATGTAAACCTCGAAAAAGTGAGCCGAGGTCATCAAAGGTTAGTGACCTGACCTGATCTTCAGGTGACCTTGACAGTTGACACCCACCCTTATGCGCATCGTATCACATGTTTGAACGCTTGAAACTACGGAAAGACTGCAAAAGTGCGGCTAATGCGAACCAACTGATACGCCGAGTCGCGATTCCGACCAAACATGGTCTAAAAAAGTAGGTCACAGGTCAAAGGTCATTTGGGTCAGGGACAGCGTCGTATAATTTTCAGGGTTAGGTGTTAAATTGATTAACGCGAGGATACTGAAAGTTTAGTCGCGATCGGCAGCTTTTTACGCGAGTTATTTGCGAAGAACCTTAGGTTGAGCAAGAGTACCTTGCATCACCCCTATCCCCCGGCCCCGTGCCGGCGAGGGTTTTAACCCGCGCACCGATTGGGGCCTGCGCCAACTTAGAACCGACGGGCGGCATTTGACCGCCCCCTCCCCCCCTGAGCTTTTCTCGAATAACTTTCGAACTAGCCAAGCTAGGAACAAACTAATAGCACCATCGTGATGCTCTCGTCAATCCGCATCGATATCGAATCATTTATGTGTTGTCCTTGAAAGGTCAAGGTCAAAGGTTGACCTCAGGTCACGTGACCTCAAAGTCATCATGTATATTTTTCGATGCGCCTTGACGAGCTGAACAAAACACAATGAGACCTTCCGCGTGGCCGTAGCTCGTTCCTGTAAGGAGTT